CAGTGTATTTCAGTAGATCCACCTTTTCTGTTCCCCACTCTGTCTCTGGTAAGTCCTCTCACCCCCACCCCACACCTCTGGCCTACACCCCAGCTTTTGTATGCATAAATAAATGAAGTCAATCTTAAAAAAAAAAAAAGTAATCACTTTCATTTTAAGGATGAAACAAACAACTTAGTACCGCCGGTGTTCTTGTTGCAGGGAGAAGAACTAGAGAATTCTTTGGAGAGAAGAAAGGAAATCCCTTGGTTTCCATGTAAAATTGGAGGAACTGGAGTTGGCTGTATTTCTGCTGTTTCTGTTTCTTCCCTTCTCTCAAGAAAGAGCAAGGTTTAAAGTGAAGCTGCCTTTTTCAATACAGTGAATAGAGAAAGGGGGTAGGGTTGCACATACTCCAGTCCTTAGCAATTATGGGAATATTTTTGCATCTATCTATAAAAAGAGGCAAGTCTTTCCATATTTCAGCTGGGAGCAGGGGTTTTTAATAGCTGTACGGTACAATTTGTGACTCACTGGCTCACTGAAACATTCACTTCCATACAAGTGGGTTTTTATCTGTGGACGTGGGAGCATGTTGGGGTAGGGGGAATATTCAGCCTTTCCTGCCACCCAAAAAAGAAAGCAAATTTCAGAAAAAATTGAAGTTAACCAGGAACTGATAGGCTTATGGGAAGCTTTGCTATTAACTTAATGCATCACAAAATGGTGCATTAAAAACACCTAAGTGTTTGCTGCCTTATTTTCTGTTGTGTGATCATAATAATAAACTTCTTAGAGAAGGAAATACTTTACTAAAAATTATTTTGCCCTCAATCATGATTATTGCTTCAAAATTTTTATCTGCATTCCATTCTATAAAGTTATTTTTCTAAAAACTCTTTCAATTCACACTTAATGCAAATGTTTTAAAGTCATCCCAATGAAAAGCATTAAGCTCAGATCCACAAGTTAAGGTGATATTCTATCAGGTTGCTTTATTTTTTTTCTTTTTCAAACTTATCAACATACATCAAAAAAAAAAAAAAACAGCAGAGTCTCTGAATCATATTTAAATGACATGTTTGATTTGGCAATATATTTGAGTGAATGGCTGCATAAGAGGCCTTATTTTTGTCATTCACTTATTAAAGACAGAGGATTTGAGAACAAAGTAATTTTATTTCAATAAATTATACCTAAATTATGCATTTCCAATAAGTCCTAATCTCCTCTTTTCAATGATTTTCATGAAAAATATTCCACTTTTAATAATATGTTCCTTAAATTAGTTGAATCAAAAGACATGAGTTGCAATTTTTTTAACTGCAATTTTAAAGTTATGGGGAAATAGGATCATTAAAGAATTTAATTTAATTTCTTGTTTTTAAAATGATTTTGTCTCTGAGAGGACTTCACACTTTTTTAATTCTAGTAATATTCTTTGGAGGTACTTCCCAAAGAGGATAAATTATAGATTTCTCTGTTTAGAGTCATAAGTAAATATTGAGAACTTTGAGTACTAACAAAAAGGTTGGGAATCACTATGGACCCTTAAGAAATAAATGGGGCTAATGGTGACAACTCTAAACAGACTGGATTTTAAAAAATAACGTTTTCATTTTCCAGGCTCAAGAATTTCCCTTCCAGCCTAGCTGGAGGTGCCAGCAGAACTCCTCCGTATTTTATAGAAGTCGACTGGACATGGCAGCCAAGTTGACAGACATGTCACCTGTGTACACACACACACACACACACACACACAGCGTATTACAAATGTGTATGAACATGTGTCCCCTGTTACTTACACAAAGCTATTTATGAATTCACTTCCACAATCAGATTAAGTCGAGTTCCTTTATCACCATGAGTGTATGAAGTGAATTCTGTCATTTTGCAAACATGATAACGCTACTTTAACACTTGGCTAAAGGTGTAGGCTCTGCATAGCCATTCAGTGGGTGCTACTGAGCTATAATAAAAGCAGTGACTCTTGATTCATGCAGTGACACGGATGAATCTTAAATGCATTTTGCTGAGTAAAAGAAATGAAACCCACAGTCGCAGACTGTATGAGACCACTCATGTAACATTCTACAGCACACAAACCCTAAAGAAGATGATCAGCAAATCTGAAGCTGCTGTTGTCAAGGGTTGCTAGGTAGAGAAGTGGGCTCCAGAGTCACTGTGTCAGGGGACTTTCAGGTCCCGGAACTGTTCTGCAATTACTGGGATGGTAGATGTGCAACCCTATGCATTTCTACACCCCAAGAATGAAATGAACCCTATGCAAACATTTATCTTACTTTGAACTTTATGGCTGTGTGATTGACATACAAAGAATCACACAGATTGAGTATGTGTGATTTGATGAGTTTGGACATAATGCAAACACTAGGATACTATCACCACATTCAAGGTCACAGTTGAATCCAACACCTCCACAACTTACAAAAAACCAATTAGGATACTGGGGGGATCCCAGAATAGAATGCAGGTAGTGACCCGTGACTCTCACTTCATGGAGTGAGCAGAATTCTACACAGTCCCTGGATCTCCCCACCTGACCCCTGGGACTATGAGCATGATGAGATATCACGAGCCCATGTCATGTTATATGTCAAAAGGGATTTCTCAGATATAATCCAAATTAGTATTAGTTGACTTTTCGTTATTCAAAAGCAAGATTTTCCAGGTAGATCTAATCTAATCACATGAGCGGTTTAAAAGAAGAGTTGCTTTTGTAAGCCAGTAGCAGAAGTCAGTCGACGAAGGAAGGGATTGTATGGTCACTGCTAGCTTTGACATTGGAGGGGACCCTGGGCAAAGACCAGACAGGAACTTCCAGGCACTGAGCATGACCCCACCTGATGACTCACCTGTGACCCCACCTGACGACTCACCTGTGACCCCACCTGACGACCCCACATGAAGACTCATACTTACTGCTGCAAGGGACTGGCATCTGCCAACATCCTGGGCGAGGCTGGTAGTGGGTTCTCCCACCACAGCTTCCAGTCAAGAACCCAGCACAGTGACATCTTGATTATCTATCTTGTAAGACCTTAAGCACAGAGCCCGGTGGAGCATACCTGGACTTCTGAGCTACCCAACTGTTAATAAATGGATATTCTCTTCAGCCACTGGGTTGTGGAAAATTCCCACAGCAATAGGAAAACAATGCACCACATTACGAATGGATGGCATGTCCTTCCCGAGGTGGTAGGGGAAAACGAGCTGACCTACATAGCTGCAAAACAGTGTTGTGACTGGAGAGGAAGGATTCAAGACACAGAAGTTGCTGCACACAAACACTGTTCTCTGGTAGGTACTCGCGTTTCCCCCAGGAGTGCAGGCTAGCATGGCCAAAGTTACTTTCTATGCATATACTGGGATTAAACAAGTAAATAATTTGTACATCATGGGAGCCTGATTTCTTACTATCCTAGAAAGAAGTTACAGAAAAGCAAGGGGGGGAAAGGCTGGAATATGGATTGGAGTATACCCACACAAGTAACACAGAAATAAAAGCAGTCATGGGGCCTCCCCGGTGCACAAGGGGTTAAAGTCTCAGTGCTATGAAACTATCACCAGTCACTGCTGTATAGTTCAATTCCCGGCCAGGGAGCTGACCCACAAGCCACAGCTGACCTCTCCTGTCTCACCCACTGCTCTTCCCAGCAGTGAATTTCAGTAGATCCACCTATTCTGCTCTCCACTCTGTCTCTTGTGAATCCTCTCACCCCCTGCACCTCTGGGCTATACCCCAGTTCTTGTATGCATAAATAAAAAAGTCTTTTTAAAAAAAATAAAAGTAGACCTGTATGTAGATGAGTTAGTACAGAAACACTGACTTCCCCACTCTATTCGCTGAGTCTAGAATCAATGACACTCCATCCCAGTGATGAACACTCTTAGTGCCCCAATCTTTTCTAAACACCATGTTACAATAAAAGGAACTAGGGTACTTTGGAGAAAGGGCTGATTTTGAACTGGGGCTGCGAAGATACATAATGAAGCAAGAACATTTTATCAAGTCTGAAAATATGTATTTAAATTAAACAAGAAAGAAAATAATGGGGCATATCCCAAGAAACAGTAGTCAACCGAAAATAGTCCACTATGGCTAAACAGAACAACTTTAGCAGTAAAATAAATATTGGCATTATTGGACTGTAACTCAAATAATAAAGCAAGTATTTATGAGTCGGTACTGATGTTAATAAGAGATCAGATAAACAAATAGAGACAACTCTTCCTCACAGAATTCCAGATAATAAATGTAGATGGAATGGAGGAAATGAAACATCACCACTAAAACAGCCCAGGGATAAACACTGCAGGCAGCAACTCATAGAAATAGTATTAAATTTGTAGGTAGAGGGCCTCCCCTAGTGGCGCAGCGGTTGAGTGCTGGGCTGCAAAGCTGCCTGCAGCCTCTGCAGCGCCAGTTCGATCCCCAGCTGCAGGGCGAGGGTCCCACATGGCGCGACAGACCTCTCCTGCCGCCCACTGCTCCCCTCAGGAGTGTACTTCGTCAGTCTACTTGTTCTGCTCCCCGCTCTGGCTCTGGTGAATTCTCTCACCCTCCCACACTTCTGACTGTACCCAGTGCTTGTATAAATAAATAAATCTTTAAAAGAAAAAAAAGAACAAAAATATTTTTAAAAATAAATTAGTAGAACTTGTAGGAGAAACAGAGAGCACAGGTAGCCTCCAAAAAGCCCCAACACAGTACAGGTTAACTACTGGAGCAGATTTAGCCTGAACCTACACAGTCTCTCAAGTTCCTTTCCCCAGATACACTTTGGTCCCAAAACTGCGGACTGGAGTTAGCAATCTGTGTCAAAGAGATTATGGCAAAGGGAAGAGTGACTTCATGATGAAGAAAATGGGCAGACCCCACCTTCACCAAGTGATGACCCTCAGGTCGCTTGTTGCCCCCGCAGGCTCATGCTTTGACCTCAAAGTCTCTGGCTTCCATCTCCATGGTGACCTAGCTCTTCATGACAAAAGAAGGAAGAATATCCTGATCATTCCATTTTTTGAGTTACTTTTCGTGATGAGTATTTCTAGTTGATATCTTGAACATGCAAAAGGATACCTGGGTTGTCAGTAAAATGTTATTTCTGGGGTGTCTGAGTAAGATTAGTATTTCATTCAGTAGATTGAGAAATGAGACCACCCCCATCCAGGTGGGTGGGCATCATCCAATGCACTGGGGGCCCAAACAGAACAAAAAAGTGACAGCGAATTCTCTTGTCTTGAGATGGACACCCTCTTTTCCTTCTCTCATACACAGGAACTCTGGGTTCTCAGGCCTTTGGACTCCAAGACAGACATAAGCTGCATAAGTTTCCCTTCCCTGGTTGTCAGGTCTCAAACTCAGGCTGACTTATACCACTGCCTTCCCTGGTTCTCCAGCTTGCATCATGGAACTTCTCAGCCTCCACAACTGGTAAGTCAACTTCTAGACTAAATCTCCAGTCACATGTGCCTTACACCCCACTGTTTCTGTTTCTCTGGGAACAGTGAGTAGCTCACTTATTTTCACATGCCAGCTTCCATGGTCATTGTTTTCATACACCCCTATAACTGTAGGTCCTAGAGACAAAGATCTGCAACCTGTGACCACAATTATTGTAGAAGCATATGTGTGTAGGCATATTTTTCTTAAGAGAAATTTTACTCCATCTCTGCCCAGGCAGCTGACCCCTCAAAACCTTGCAAAACAGCAGTTCTGAGGATAGGCAGTTCTTTTCCTTTGCTTACCTCTGTAGTTAGGTACTGTTTTTGAAAAGAAAATGCTTGATGCTTACGGAGAATGCATAAATAAATGTAAGATGTAAAATATTTAAATCATTTGACCCTTTTACCGAAAGTAATGACATCCACATAAGAGAAGTAAATGATTCTGCAAATTTAAGCTCTCAGCTAAACCGAAGGAATAGTGACTGCCGTCATTAATAGTCAATTCATTTATAGTTCGACATAGCATTTTCTTATGTATTGCTTTATCCTCATAAATAGAGTAGCCATGTGTCCCTGTTTATCCCTGCTGTTCCAACATATTGCTTCATCCTGTCTGGCTTGGCATTTGTCCTGGATTTTTCATATTTTAATAAAGCATTATTTTAATATCTGCACTCACATAAGCTAAGCTGGATTTGGTGATGCCACACTGCATACCTTGAGCTTCTGCCTGAGTCCGCAAATGAAATGTCTGAAATGAGTCCCAGGTGCAGGAAAACAGAGCTCACTGAAACATGTGGTTAAGTCCTCAGGACAACCAGCTCTAACCTCTCTTTCTTTTCCAAGCCCTTTACAGACACAAGGTAATTAACACCTCCCTCTCAAGGACCACATGCAGGCACTCGCTGATAAAATTAAGCACTCTGTGGCAGGAACAGCTAGGGACAGTGACTCCAGCAGGACTTGAACAGTGAGGGGAGGAGAGGATGTGCTGCTCTTGCTGGGCTCTGCGTGTGCCACATGCTCTGCAGTGGTCTGCTTCTGGAGGATGCATAAAACTTGCAGGCAGACAGGGGGGCAGGGAGGAGCAAAGGAAATTAAGGTTTAGGCAAGGATCAGTTAGGTAGGTAAAGTGAGATTACAAAGTCTTAATAGTCTGCCTACTTCACTACAGAGGTTTTGGCATTCATAGCATGTGCAAATCTACTTGGTTTCATTTATGTATTTCCGTGCTTTCTTGTTTTGTTCTGAAATAGACCAATGAACTCAAAATGCATGTTAAATTTTAGAAATCAAGAAATTTGATGCTAAATATGTCAGTGTCTAGATTACGCCAACCACAGGAAAACCAGAGACACAGATTGGCTGAAGGAGCATCAGCTTCTATTTCAAGATGGGTTGCTATTTTAAGACAGTGCCCAACTTCTCCCATCCAGCTATGGCAAGGGCTCAACTTTTCATTTAGAGCAAGTGACTATCCAACTGGATTAATTTTGTTTACTTGGATTCCACATATTTTCTGCATGATAAAGAATAACATATATTAGTTCCATTTGTGTATTAAGAATATTATTATAACAATGATAAAAAACAACTTCTCAAAAGTTAAATTGTGTCATGTATATCAGTGTCATCTATATATTTTAAATTAAAAAAATTGTTAACACATTTCAATGAGCATTCCATTTTCTATCCATTTATTGGTACAAATTTAAGCTTTGGGAATTTACTTGGTGTAAGTTAAAACATCTGTTGTCACTGTAGATGCAATTACAAATTCAGTAAAATACTGTTTTGAAAAAACTATTTGATTTTGTAGTAATATCCCAAATAGAAAATATGGTGGAGCACAGAACCTTGTTTTTAAAATCTTATTTAAAAACATGTTCCTTTATTTTTCTTCCCGCTTTATTGCGAAATAATTGACATACATCACTATATAAATTTAAAGCATACAGCACAATGATTTGATTTACATATAGTGTGAAATGATTTCCCGTATTAGGTTCAGCTAACATCCCTCTTCTCATATCGGTACAACAAAACAAAACCAAAAAGAAAAGAAAATATCTCATCCTATGATGAGAACTCATAGGATTTATTCTTAACAACTTTCTCATATATCACACAGCTGGGTTAGAGACAGTCGTCATTTTGTACATTATATCAAGTTATTATTTATCTTATAATTGTAAGGTGTACCTTGTAGCCACCTTCTTCCAATTTTGGCGACCCACCCTCTCTTCCTTTGGTAACCAAGAGTCTGGTCTGGTTTTCTGAGTTTGGATTTTTTTTTTTAAAGAATCCACATATAAGTGACATGTTACAGTATTTTTTTTCTCTGATTTTAATTAGCATGATTCTTTCAAGGCTCATTCATGTTGTAAATGATAGGAGTTCCTCATTTTTATGGCTGAATAATATTCCATTGTATATACATACCACAACTTCTTTATTCACTTCTCAACTGATAGACACTTGGTTGCCATGATCTGGTTATTGTAATAATGTTGCAATAAACATCAGGAGGCAGTATTCTTTTTGAGTTAGCCCTTCCTTTCTTTTGGACACATTCCAAGAAGTGCAATTGCTGGGCCATCTGGTAGTTCTATTTTTAATTTTTTTTTTTGAGGAACCTCCATTCTGCTTTTCACAGTGAATGTATCACTTTACAATCCCACCAGCAGGGCACAAGCGTTCCCTTTACTCCACATCTGCAGCAGCATTTGTTACTGCTCATCTTTTTGGAGGTGGCCATTCTAACAGGTGTGAAGTGACATTTCACTCTGGTTTTAATTTACATCTAACAACTAATGATATTAATTAAGCATCATTTTACGTACCTGTTGCATTTTGCATATCTTCTTTGGAAAAATGCCTCTCAGCTGCTTTGTCCATATTTTTTTGCTTGAATTATTTGTTTTTTTGTCATTGAGTAGCATGAGCCCTTATATATTTGGGATATTAGCTACTTATTACATATGTGGCATGCAAATATTTTTTCACTGCTACATAGATAGTCTTTTCACTTTGTTAATGGTTTCTTTTGACGTGCAGGAGCTTTTCAGTTTGATGGAGTCCCACTTATTTTTTATCTTGTTGATCAAGAACCATGACAAAGAGTTTTATTCCTATGTTTTCTTCTAGGAGTTTCATGGCTATGAACGTACATTTCCAAATTAATGTTTCAGAGTAGTGTAAGATAGGGATCTAGAACCATTCATTTACATGTGAATGTCCAAATTATCCAAGCACCATTTATGGAAGAGACCTGTCTTTTCTCCATCAAGTATTCTTTTTTTTTTAAAAAAAAAAAAAAGATTTATTGATTTATTTATTTATTTATACAAGCACTGGGTACAGTCAGAAGTGCAGGAGGGTGAGAGAATTCACCAGAGCCAGAGCTGGGAACAGAACAGGGAGACTGATGAAATACACTGCTGAGGGGAGTAGCGGGCACGGCAGGAAAGGTCTGCGTGCCATGTGGGACCCTCGCTGGCCGCCAGGGATTGAACCGGTGCTGTTCAGGCTGCAGGCAGCTTCACAGCCCAGTGCTCAACCACTGTGCCACCAGGGAGGCCCAACCATCAAGTATTCTTGGCTCTCTTCTCAAACAGAAGTTGACCATATAGGTTTGGGCTTAGTTCTGGGCACATGATTCAGCTCCAGTGGTCTATTTGTCTAGTTTTATGACAGTACTATATTGTTTTCATGACTGTAGCTTTATAATAAAGCTTAAAATCAGGAAATATAGTGTTTTATTCTTCTTTGGCTACTTGGGGTCTTTTGTGGTTCCATATAAATTTTATGAGTGCTTCAACTTCTATAAAAAATGCCATAAAAGTCATGTTCTTAATGAACTAAGAAATCCATAGACTGGAAATGTATTTCCACTTGGCACATTATCACAGAACACAGCAATCATTTCATAAATGTAGTTGTATCAAATTGGCAATTAAATAAGTTGCATCTTTCAAAGTTTTGGAGACATTCAAGAACTGCAATTATTGATATCAAACTTCTAAAAAGAATAGTGATAGAAGATGATGAACCAAGCTTACAGATGAGAGCTAAGATGGCATGTACTATTTAGTATTATGTTTGTATAACAGTGTTTTAGAATATCTCAAGTTCTTACTTATAACTGGATAAATATTACATTCTGTCCTGGCACTCTACACTGACAAATTCTACAATCTGGTGAAACATCTAAATTTGATTAAAATACAAAATAATCATTAATAGAAACAACTTGTCGACAAGTTTTGCCTGTAAACATATTGAACAAAGAAAAGTACTTTATATGCAGGCAAAAAGCCAGTGCCTATAAAATATTTGGGCTGAAATATTTGTATGTGTTAATGTGAAACAAATGGACTTGAGCATATTCTCAATTTAGTAGAATTTGACCTAATTTTACCCAGTTACTGGGAACCGACTATTTCTCAGATGTGAAAGAATAATTTGAACATGTAGACACTTGCACATTTATCATGTATCAACCATCAAATGCAATTCTGAAGATGAATGCAGGCACTTTTTTTTTTTTTAAGTAAGAAATCAGGAAATGCCATATGCACATTATTAGATAAGATATTTAAAAAAACAGACTAGGGCCTCCCTGGTGGCCTAGGGGTTAAGTCTCAGCACTACCACCACCATGGCCTACCATGGCACATACCTACCCACATATGGTGCAGCAGACCTCTCCTGCTCGCCCACTGCTGCTCCCCTCAGCAATGTATTTCAGTAGATCCTCCTGTTCTGCTCCCCACTCTCTCTGGTGAATCTTTTCACCCTCCCTGCCCCCGGCCACCCCACACCTCTGGGCTGCACCCCAGTTCTTCTATGCAAAATAAAATAAAAATCTTTAAAAAATAATGAAAATATTTAATTAAAAAAACAGACTAAAACACATGAATATGAACCAAGAAACATCCTACTACCCTTATTTAATGTTTTGGATAATTCATATAGAATTTTTATATATACAAACATACCAATTTCAGTTGTGTAAAAATTGCTATATTTAAGGAGATATTTTAGAATAAAACTATACTATAGAGTGATATAACTCAAATTTGCCAGTGAATAGATACTAAAAATGAGACAAGTTTAACTATTTTAAATTTTAATTTGCCTCCAAGGTGTCTCCTACAAAATTTAGGTGATAAATTAAAAGAAAAGTAACTACAAGATAAATCAGTTATTACTTATGGCACTACTTATTTACTCTCACAAAATAAAGGGTGGGACTCAAATTTACTCACAGGTGAGAACTATCAGGCTGCCCAGAGTCACGCAGCTAGGGCATGGATGGAGAAGAATTTGAGCCAAGCCTCTGGAGAAGCATTTAGTGAGAAGCTACAACCTAACGAATAGAATACCATGTGCAAGAAAGGTATTTTTCTCAGTATGTTTCACCTAGTTAGAATGCAAAAAGAGAGAAAAGCAATCAAATAACACAGAAGTCTCTAGGTGGTCCAAAACATTAAAATTTAAAGAACTCAAAACAATGACATACAGAATAACAATGTTCTGCTGATTGAAACAGGACATGAGAAAGGTTACTGTCTGGAAGGATTCTGAACCACCTTTTGGAAGAGAAGGAGGCTGGTGTGCATTGCAGAGACCTGGGCTGGAGCGCTGCAGTCTGGGAATCACTGAGTGTAGATGCCAAAAGCAAAACCAGCACCACTGTCAAAACCCAAGGGTTCCTTGTGGCCAAAAGATCAGGAGCTGAGATAGCTATGTGGAATGCTAGATTTTAAAGGTTATATGAGAAAGGCTATATAATGGGTGTACAGGAGCTTGTTTAACAGGGAAAAAAAAACATAATAAAATTTGCCTGGATTTAAGAACATGCATTTGACTGTGATTTATTTACTCAAACATTCAACAAACATTTACTGAATGTGTACAATGGACAAGGACTGCCTCATGCAGTAAGGAGAGAACAATAAATAAAACAAAATCCTTGTCCTCATGGAGAACAAGCAGAGAAGAGAAACAACACTTTATATAAACCTTACACCGCAATACAACCCAGAATTGCAATGAAGAAAAACAAAGCAAGATAGGATCAGGGCCGTGGAGTTCAACTTTAGATAATGTGGACACAGAATTCAGCTAATGATACCTACTGCACTTTAGATGTATCATCCCATTTCATCTTCACAGCAATTATATGAGGTAGGGATGTGTTATTTTACAGATACACAGAGAAGGAAACAGATACACAGTGTGGTTTAGCACCTAACCCAAGGGTTTACAACTAGAACACAGTATTTACACAGTATTTTAGAGTTTATTTACACAGTATTTTAGAGTTTGACTGTGTGGCTCAAGTCCATGTTCATCATCATCACGTTAATAC